TTTTTTTTTTTGTCACATAAGTACCTAAAATGAAAATTAATGAAATTTGGAGGTGGGAAAACTGAACAAGAAAACATTTCCCCCTAAAACCGCACGATTTCTGATGAACGCACAACCCCAAAACCGCCCCAAAAATGAACAAACCCCGGCGTTTCGGCCGCTAAACCCTACACTAGATTTCAAACCACGATTTCTCATGAATCCAAAGACCCAAAACAGCCCAAAAATGAGCAAACCCCGGTGTTTTGGCCACGTGGTTTTAAGAACCACTGATTTTTAGGGTGAAAGTTGGCACTAAACGGCCCGATTCGGCCTCTCCCCTATCCAGGAACAACAACACCCGGCCGCGTCACCCCGAAAATTTCTCATTTCTTTAACTTTTGCTGGATTTTTGGTTTGTTTTTTTCCTCTCTCTCGCTGTTTCCCCGCAGCAAAATTGTAGTTAAAATAGACGAAGACAAAGACGGCTTTGTCACGGTGGAAGAGCTGAAAAACTGGATTAAGTTTGCCCAAAAGCGCTGGATTTACGAGGACGTAGAGCGGCAGTGGAAAGGCCACGACCTCAATGAGGACGGCCTCATTTCTTGGGACGAATATAAAAATGCCACCTACGGCTACATCTTAGGTAGGTTTTTTCGGGGCAGGGTCCGAAAAGCGGTGCTTGAAACGTGCTGTCTTGTTTTTGTAGAGTGATTGTAGCTAAGATAGACACGGATAAGGATGGGTTTGTGACCGAGGGGGAGCTGAAAGCCTGGATTAAGGCGGCGCAGAAGAAAGCGGTGTATGGGAGTGTCGAGCGGCAGTGGCAGGAGTTCGACACCAACCAAGACGGATTTATCTCCTGGGATGAGTACAGAAACGTGACCTATGGCACGTACCTGGGTAAGGGGCGGCGGGCGCTGAGGAAATCGGCTCAGAATTCCAATCACGAGCGAAAATTGGTTGATTCGTGGGGGTTGTTTGTTTGGTTTTTTTTTTTTGTGGTCCCGATTTTGATTTTGAAGTTTTTAGCTGCGGAAACGCCTCCAAAAGCCACGTTCTTCTGGGTATCGTCCTAAATCTGTACGCATCCTTAACCAAAAAAAAACCCAAACCTTTGAATCGCTTCCTGAAAATCCCCCGCGCCCACCTCAAGGTCTCCACTGGTCCTGGCTGTAAATTAAACCCCTAAAAACTCATCGATTTGGGCCGATACGATGCCATCAGCCGCCCTATAAAGGCTTCAACACCCCCAAGGTTGAGGTCAGGTGCAGCTTTTTGGGGGTTAAACGGCCAAAAAAAAATAAATCCCATTTTCTCTGCCAGCTCCCGCCCCCCCTCCCTGGTACGCGGACGTTTATGGGAGGATGAGCTACGGCTCCAAAGCACGAAATCAAGGTTGAATTTCCCTAAATATTGCCAAAAATAGTCAAAAGGCTCCGCAGAACGGACGGAGCCTCTCGGTTCCACCTCGGCCCTCTTCC